ATTGAAGACATAAAATAAAGTTGTATACTTAAGAAAGAAAAAAATAAAATGGGAGGAAAAACATGCCAAAGACATCTTAAAAGAGGCCCAAACAGTACCCCTAGGAATGAAAAATGAGGTTGTCAAAATTAAAATTCTCCATGGGAATGATAGCAACAAGTAAGAAATGGCTCAAGAGAGCATTATGAATTGAAAGATAGAACTGAAAAAAATTACTTGGAACACCATAGATAAAAGAAGAAGCATAGCATGAAAAGGTTCAAAATACATCTAATAGGAGTGCCAGAAAGAGAGAATGTGGTAATGGATAAATGGCAATATTAACATAATTAATAATTAAGAATTTTCTAGAATTGATGGAAGATGTAAATCCTCAATTCCAACTCAAGAAATAAAAACAAATTCCCATCCAAATGCAGTGTAGTGAAAGACTGGAACACTAAACACAAGGAATAAAACCATAAAAACAGAGAAAGATATCATCTGTGAACAAGTAATAAATCAACTGCAGTCTTTTCAATGGCAATGATAGAAGTAACACAGTATAATATAGCTTCAAAAGTCTAGAAGGAGAATGAATGTGAACCTAGAATTCCATTCCCAGAGGACCACTGCTGATAAACTGAGCGGGAAACAGGACATTGAGATGAACAAGATTGAGTTATTTATCACCCACTGAGTCTTTCTGTATTTTTTATTTTGAAATAAAAATAACTTTAAACAGGCATAAATAACTAATTTAGCTTGTTTAGAATATTTTGCTTGGGAAAGGTGAAATATTGGTGACGGAGCAAGAGCAAAGGATATCAAATATCCCCAAGAGGCAAGAAGAAAAGAAGAAAATGAAAAAGAAAATTATTGACTTACTCATAAATATTAATGAATGACCTTAATGTCTTCTGGGTACAAAGAACAATATGGCTGAACAAGTAAAAGATGTTCACAAATACATTTATTTAAAAAAAAAATCTAAAATTTTCTTTTGCTAGGATATTTTTCTTTGTCATCCCCCCTCCCCCAATCAAAGTTAGCTATTTGGGTAACTTTATTTATTTGACATAAATAAAACTTTAATGTAATGTAATGTAGAACCTATTATACACAGTCTTTTAAACTGGTATGGGATTCTTAGTCATGTAAAATTGAAAAATACAGATTCCTATATAGTATTCCAAATAATAAAGCTATACTTCCAAATTTTTGAAAATGATATTTGCCACTTAAAGTTTTAGTTATGTTAAGGTTAATGGAATACAATTTTGTGATTTGATACAAACACATAGGAGTTCAGAGTTCTAATGGATTCAACATCTTTCTTTCTTCCTTTTTTTCTGGGGGGGGTGGGTACTAGGGATTGAACCCAGGGGCACTTAACAATTGAGCCACAGCCCCAACCGTATTTATATTTTATTTAGAGACAGGGTCTTGCTAAGTTGCTTAGGGCCTCACTAAGTTGCTGAGGCTGGCTTTGAATTTGAGATCCTCCTGCCTCAGCCTCCCATACTGCTGGGATTATAGGCGTGTACCATGTTGCCCAGCGATTCAGTCTTTCTAAATGAGGTGAACTCAACAAGATAAATAGGAGAATACTTTCATTAGAATTCCCCTATTAGAGTATGTACTCTACATAACAGAAAAAATAATACCTCTTGGGATGGTGGTGTAGCTCAATGGTAGAACACTCGCCTATCACTATCATGCATAAGACCCTGGGATTCATCTCCAGCACCGCATAAAACAACAGTAGCAACAAAACAAACAACAAATAAAAACAAAGAATCCTTCCTGCTGTGACTGCAGAACAAAAATGCCAAGTGCACATTTATACTTTTCAGATCAAATAACAAGATACAGAATCCATTATGGTTACTCTCCTACAAGGAAGCAAATATAAGGACAAAAAATTACTAAGCAATTTTCAACAGACAAGAAATGGATAGGGCACAGAAGTTTATATCTGTGCCAAAATACACAAGGGGAATACATAGCTTCTTTCTATAAAAAGCAACAATACCAAAAATTGATTGCATATATTTCTTCAGGTAAAAACTCCAAGCCATCAGCACCTACCAGCTCTCCGACTAGGCACCCAAGGACACCTGGCTGATGAAGAGGTCTTGTGCTTTTTAATTAATTCCGTCCCCTTGCGTTTTTCTCATTTGGGAATACTTAAGTTACCTCTAATTGGAAGAAGCCTGGGGCACATCTGAGTTTCTCAGGCCTAATGCTTACTCAGAGAAGAAAAGAGGCCATGTAGACAAATTCAGAGCTGAGTAAAGAAGAAAAAGTTAAACCCAGTCTATGTCACATCAGGAATCCTTAAAGGACAGTGTTTGAACTATTGTTCTGGAAATATGGATGGCTCAAAAAAAAAAAAATAATCTCAGCTTTTGAACAACTTCTCGTTCCTCGGGAAAAGTCACCAGGATGCTCAGTTTCTGAGACCCTTAACTTGCCATTTTCACCCTTCTCTGATGTTGAGCGAAATTAATCCTCATGGTGCCTTCCTCCCTGGGCTCCTCCACATGCTGTGGACCCAAGGCAACTTTCCTCCCTCCACCGGGGAGGAGTCCCGGCTTCCTAGGCAGCCAAATGTTCTGTGGATCAACCCTGTTCTGGGCAACAGGAATTTGGGAACTTGACTTGGCTAACTCAAATCACAGAAGAGCTTTGTGTTGGTCTCAAAGGCGAGTGAAGATATCTTTATGTGAAGATGTTCCTGCAGAGACTGGCAACAGAGTGTACTTACTGCAGGTCAGAGTTAAGCTCTGACTTCACCCATCCATAAGGTGTGGCCTTAAGCAATTACTTAACCCTCTCTGTGCCAACTTTTCCCATATGTAAATGGCAAAAGACCTCAGGTCATTGTAAAGATAATAAGTGAAGCACAACCTGGCACACATTGAGTACAACATAACTATTAGTTACTACTAGTAGTTAGAGTAGTAGAAACATAAAAACATAAGAGGCTTACAAAAAGGTGCTGCTTTTTAAGTAATTTAAATTGTAAAAACAAGAAATGTCTCCATAATAATAGAAATTCAATAAATGATTAGAATTTTATGAAAAGAATGTATAAAAATGAGCTCCAGTGATCTAATAAAAACTTTAAAGTGCAAAATTTATAATTTTCAGGTAAACACACTTCACACATGAACTTGAATTTTGACTACCAAACTGTAAACGGTGATTCTTACAAGTCATTTTTAACAAATGATGTTGTGCTTCATCAATTACCTATTTCCAGAGATGATGCTGTGGGCTGAATAATATTGCTCTTGATCATTTTAAGCTATGATTCTGCAGAACAAACTCAGAGTATCTCCTCATGGCTCCAGTATCCTCACAGGAGGCACAAAGCCCTTCATAGGAACAGCTGCGTCACTAGGAATTCCTTTCCTTCTCTCCTATTGTGTGTGGCCCCGCCAAGGTCAGAAAACAAGTAATCTGAATCTACCAATTGCACTTTCTTCCTTCCTGAGTGTCCTTTCGTGATTTTGCAGTCCTCAGAGCCCTGTTAAAGCAATTAACATAAGGCTGACCCAGGCCTTATTTTCCAACAGAAGCATCTGCAAAGACACTGACGCCCAAGGACATCATCTGTCCAATAAGGAACCCAAAGGTGAGTGAGTCAAGAATTTCCTATCTTCCAACTATCAGAAACTGAAGTGAAGTTTCACAACTGCTTGACAATACACGAACTCTGACAGTACAGTTCGGAGAACCTTATGTTCTCAAGCTGGAAGCCCAGATAGCCACTTGAAAAGCAATGATTTTTCCTCCTCATTTATTTTAAAAATATGGTGAGGGTCTGGGGTCATAGCTCAGTGGTAGAGCACTTGCCTTGCATGTGTGAGGCATTGAGTTTGATTCTCAGTACTGCATATAAATAAAATAAAGGCACATTGATAACAACAACAAAAATTTTAAAAAGCATGGTGAAAATTTTTGCCTTCAGCATATAAACATAACAGAGACTCTGAACACAGTTTTCTATAATTAATACTCTTCTTAGATTATGTTTATTAGTCCTGAAGGCAGCAGTGAAGTGGGCTACTGAATTGGATTTACTGAAGATCCCTTTAAAAATTCTCTACACTCAAATTTTTTTCCTTTAACCCATTAAGTCCCAAAGTCTTCAGTTCCGTGAGTGTTTCAACAAAATTGACACAGGTGCGTTAAAATAGGTTGGAAATCATAACCTAGAGCTTATGTATCTTTTATAATCCTTTATGTATATTTTTAAGTATATATGGAAGTGTATATATACAAATTTTTCAAACGCTTTAATCCTTCACCTATTATTTTTCTTAAAAGAATAGAATTATAAAAATATAATATTTATTTCAAAGTAACCATGTGTGTGGTATTTGTTGCTCAGTTTAAGTTTTTATGTGTTCTACATCTTGGACAATGGAACAAAACGAGTTAAATTAGGAAAACTAACTAATATTTTGAAAATTACCCATATCACCTGTGATTAAAAGGGGGGAAAACCCAGTTTTTTAAAGTAAAAGGATATGAATCATATTAAAAATGTAGCACTTAATGTTATAACTTATTAGAACACAAATCTATTCTTTGCCAGAATGGCAAAATCTGGTAAACAGCCATCCTTCCTTATCTGTGGGGGCGGGGGCGGGGGGGGATTGGTTCCAGGATCCCCTTTGGATATAAAAATCTGCAGATGTTCAAGTTCCCTGTATAAAATGATGTACTATTTGCATCTAATCTGTACATATCATCCTATATACTTTAAATAATCTCTAGATGACGTACAATACCTAATATAATGCAAATGATACGTAATTAGTTGTTAAACTGCATCGTTCGTGGCCAGCAAAATATTAAGCACATTCAGTACAGATGCAATTTTTCCCCCCAAGCCTCTGATCTGAGTCTGGTTAAATCCTGGATGTGGAACCTGCAGACACAGAGGACTGACTACATCTGTATACAGATGCAGTTTAAAAGAGGCAGGTTTTATGGCACAGACTCACCAGTGGCTCTGCCATAATGATGCGGATTTTGCGTTCGGCCTGAGTGGTGAAGTTGACAAACAAGCTCTTGAGGACATATTCTCCTGGTTTGCTGTCGGGGTCCACGTTGATGGGTAACATGGTTGGCGGCCCTTTCTCCCTGTGTGTGCCTGAAGCAGGTGGAACCGGAGGCTTGATGTAGCCGTTGCCAACTGGAGAAGCTGAAAAACAGAATGGATGTTCTTACCAGCTGAAAATAATATCATAAATATTCAGGCGGGGTGTGTACAATCATAAATATAAGGATATGAATCATATTAAAAATGTAGCACTTAATATTACAACTTGGCGCTGTTAGTTAGAAATGGTGATAAAATTTACTTTTATGATATCAGGCTTGCATTACCACAGATTTGACAATCTAAAAAATTCTTTTGGTGACCCCACAGATACAGCTGATGAATTCTGTAATCTATAAGATGCTTTTGGTTTCTTTTTTAGAAGCCAGGAAAATGGACTGAGAAAATTTATATGGGAGAAAAAGTGATTTCTTGTCCAAGTTTTTCTAATGGCAGGAGCTCTCTGACTTCTGTGCTTTAGCAGAATAATGGAAAAGATTTGGGGGTCATAGCTTCTAGAAGACTCCAAGATCCAGTTGGCTATTGCTCTCAAAAGGGAGGTACCTTTAGAAAGCTACAGGCAGTGCTGTTCATGCCATCCGAGGGTAAATTTAAATTTTCACTCCCACCACCCTTGGCTCAAGTTGGGATGCCTTGCTTAGGGGTGTGTGTGTGTATGTTCGGGGTGAGGGGGAAATAAATATATATTATATACACACATCCATATGAAAAAATATATGAAAAACATAGATATTCATGTTTTGTCATATATACATACATGTATCTGTTTTCATATATATATGAAATTTATTTTTTTAACAGTGCTGGGCCTGCAGAATACCAGGCAAGCACTCTACCACTGAGCCGCAACCCCAACACTGGTCCTTTATAAAATGTGTGAATTCCCTACTTGGATCAGATCTTGAACAAGGGCAGCTATCAGGGCTCCTAGTGAGTCGTAGTCTCTGCTCAGAATGCAGATTTCATGTCTCTGTTCTTTATGTTCAATTCTAGCATGCACCCAGACAAATACTTTTGATGAAGTTAGGCATCAATATCCAATGAGAGAAATGTAAGAACAAATGTGCTTAGGATAGACATTAGGAATGCTAAGGACAGGATAATGACAAAGTAGACGTTCAAAGGCAGCATACAGTTTCAGATGACTGGGTACAGAGATGAAGGAAAAGAGTCGTGAAAAAAGTGAATTTCCAGTTTGGAGGTGGGTTTAATTATCAACAGAATGGTGGTGTCATTGATAATGAAGAAGAAAACAAGATCCTACATGAAAGCTGAATATTCATAACTACAAACAAATGCAAGTGTTTTCTGCTTTGGATCCAAAGCCCAATTCTGAGAAAGCCACACAAATGTTTTATTTTATTGAATTTACAAGCATATATCCAATTGCACATTGATGATTCTCCCTCATCTTTCCTACCCCATCTGCTCCAATTCATTTTTCCTGTTCAGGGGTCCCTTATATCTCAGGAGGTCTTCCAGATCTTAACTACTACCACACCATAAGAACATGGCTTCTCAAGATAGAATGATAAAATAAAATGTGTTGTAAAGTATTTCTTTTCACCTCCCCATTCCTTTTTAGCCATGCCCTCGTCTCAGCCTTTGGAAATCCATGTCAAGATTATAACAGCAGCTGACTTTATCCCATCTGCTTTCTATACCCAACCAGTCTCTTTCTTACATGGTTTCGTCACAACTTTTATCTTCTTACAACTTTCAGTAGCTCCCAGTTATCCTCATCAAGCCTCAAACACACTGGCCTCAAGTCCTTTAGTAGTTTGCCTCCCTGCATCAAAGACCCACTGAAACCCTGATTGTCCCTGGAGCACACTATTTTTATGTACATTTTCCCTTCTTTCTTTCCTACTTTCCATCCCTCTCTGCCCATCTAATCTTCTTCTTTTACAATTGGTCAAGTGGTTTGCCTAGGATTGGCCCTATAATTGAGTCATATAATCTTTTTAGCTGTATCCCTGAAAATTCCCTAACAAGACAGCTTGCCAGATGTAATATGCTGTCCTTCAGTGTCCATGGGGGATTGAATCCAGGATGCCCTGGTGACACCAGAATCTAAGAGGGATCAACTCCCTTATGTAAAACATGCAGTATTTATATAAAACCTGGGCACATTCTCCCAAATGCTTTAAATCAGCTCTGGGTGAATTAAAATACTTAGTGCAATGTAAATGCTATGAAAGCGTTGCTACATGGTACAATGACAAGAAACAGAAAGCTGCATGTACTCAGTAGAGATGTAATATTTTTAATCCAAGATTGGCTGAACCCACAGATGTGGAACCTTTGGATGTAGAGAGCTGTTTTTGCACAGATAATTCTCAATAAATCTTAAATCACTAACTAAACATAGCTTCTTACTTCATTTGTGTATGTCTAAGAGTGATTCATGGGGTGGGAGATACATTAGGAGAATCAGTAATGTCACAGTCTGTAAAGAACAGGGCATACTATTTGTGACATAAGAGTCATTAAAAGCACCACAAGCAGCTTATGGAAAGATACTATTTATTCTAAAGGGGCCTATGTGAAGTCAGGTGACAAAAATAAAGTGCTGCCCACTTTTCTCCCTTGCCTCCCACTCTCAATGCAGGGACCCTGTGGAAGCAGGACGCCCCTCCATCTCCAAATTACAGAGGTACATCATAGCCCCATAAGCATCTTCCTATATGCCGGGCATCGTGCCACAGAACTGGAGACTGGAACATAAACCTAAAATGTCTATTTGGAGTACAACTTCTTACTATCTTTGGTTTTCCACCGAGTTGAAACCACTTCTAGATGGCAGCAATAATTGAGTTGATGTAAAATACAATTGGGAGACCCGATCCATAATTACAAGACTCCTGGGACAAAATGTCATAACTCTAGTGAGGATTTTCATGACAGTGACCTCTGGCAGTCCTCCTGCAAAGCCATATTTTGAACCTGATAGCTGAAGTTCAGACACAAGAATACCTTTCAGATAAATCTTCCGTATAAAAGGCCAAAGTACCCATTCATTGCTATCATAAAAAATATTATCCACCTGTATTTCAAAGCCAGATGTCTTTGTGAGTACAAAAGTCTGTGCGCATAGTTCCCGAGTGAGCTGGAACTATCCCAGTGCAGCTGGGTCTCAAGCCAGGCACAGCAGAATCAAAATGATGGCACCTTTCCCTCTGAGTCCCACGCAGATGGGCTTGGGAAGATGGAGACACAGAGAGTGTGATGGAGTGAGAGTCCTTGAACTGCATCCACTCCCAAGTTTCAGTAACCCCTCTTCCTCTCACCACAATTAATTCCTGATAAATCCTACCCTTAGTCGGCATAATTTTCAAAAGGAAACATGACATGGTACCTGTCAATAACTTATTTATTTGGTGACGATCTATCTGAGAACTAGGAAATTCAGGTTCCCTGATCATCAAAACTGAGCCACAAAGTCCACCCTCGTCTAAACACCACCATTAGGAAAAAAAAAAAAAACCCAAATCATTAGACTCTCCCTTGGGACCTCTAACTCCAATCATTTGTCTAATTTCTAAGGTCACAATAGTCTGGAAGCAGAAAATTATAAGGGAAGGGTGTAACTTCCTACAGGTAGAAACTCAAGCAACCCAAGAAGGAAAAGATGAAAAGGAAATGTCATCATCCAGAAAGTCACCAGAGGAAATTGCCTGAACCTGACGGCCCCACGGGTTTGGATGGCTGCTGGCTCCATCAGGCACTCGGCCATGATTAATATTCATGATGGATGGTGACTCTGAGTCCCTGTACAGACAGGTAAGGCTAAGGAGGGGGAAAGATAAAAGTACAAAAGGTATAAACTTACTGTCCCCAGGAATCCAGCTCTCAAGAATTCAACCTCTTTCTTCCTAGATCCAAATTTTAACAAAAATTTATTTTTGATTGAAAAATAAAACCAAATAATATAAGACACGGATGCAGGAACAGCCATACTTCTGCTCCACTTTTGAGCTTTGCAAATGCAGGCTGTGATGGTTGGAGTCTGCTCCTCTCTACCTGGGATGCTGTCCTTCCTTTCAGCCCCACTTGGCAAGCAAATCCTCCCAGCTTCAGGGTCGGGGTCAATATTTCCGCCTTCACCTGCCATTGTAGGGTCTCTGGTTTCCATAGTCACCCTACTGTTCCAAGAGGACAGGGTCAGTTTCCTGTACCACAGGGTCTCTTGAAATGTGGATCCCTCACAATCAAAGTGTCCTGGCAGGTCATCTACATCACACCTTCTCTTTCCAAAAATTTGTTGAAGGAACAGTTTTTAATTTGTTGTTTTAAAAACCTCTCCCACTTAAATTTATTGCACATGAGGATTTTTATCTATTTTATTTCTGTTTAATTGGGATAAAGTACACATAACAAAATTCATCATCTTAGCCATATTGAAGGGTGCAGCTCAAAAGCATCCATGCAATGAATTTTTTAGCTTTGACTCCATCTCACTTCATTCCCATTTCTTTCTTCATTCCATGTTTCAATTTTCACCTAACAGCTCAAGATGCCTAGAAATGAATGTTCCTGGTATGGGGCTGAGGTGGGTGGAAAGGAAGGACACAATTTTCACACATTAATTAGGTCTCTAGTTACGTACCCCTTTCAAAATTTCCTTTCTCTGTTTTCTTATGTACATTTTAATCTTGGACTTTCTCTCCATTGCATTCTGTTGTTTTGTTAATCTTCTTCTTCCTTTTTTTTATTAATATCTTTTATTATTTTTATTCCAAATTCTGTTCCCACTTGTCTTTTTCTGAATTGTTTTAGATGTTTTCCCTCTTTCACTGAGTTTCCACATTTTCTATCAAGCAGGATCTACTCCTTTATCTACACAAAGTTGGTTTAGGCTCCATTTTTTTCCTCTTTATTAGCTCTATTTTTGGCCACAGGTGATGACCTCTGAACGTGACTCCATTTCCCCCCAATTTCACTGATTAAATGCTTCACTTGCAGGCAGCCTGCTCTCAGGTCCCTGGTTCAATTTCCCTAAGTTACCCCCATTTCCAGGAATGTCTAACCTTCTGATCTCAGCACCAAGAAAAATTCCCCTCCATAACTTGTAGTTCAGT